CAGCCGCAAGATTGGTTCTTATCTTGCACTTCATTTTCCCAAGTCGGGTAATTGTGGTTTTGGACATCAAGGATGCTTATTTAGAAGTGCCTCAAACAAGAAGTTCTAGTCACTATCTCATCATGGATGAAGAAGGCCTGCAATATTGGTGAAGGTATTGTCTGGAGACTGAAGCGATGCTTACCTGGACAACGGAATGCCGCAACCAAATGGTACGAGCATCTACGATCTATTCTGGAGAAACTTGGATTTGTATTCTCAGTTCATGTACCTGCACTGGCAAGACATGTCACGCGACGATTGTGTATCTCTATCCATGTGGACGATGAGTTACTAGCAGGCGAGAAGGACGAGAATGTTTGGTTAGTAATTGTAGAAGAATTGGAGAAGATCGTCAGAGTAGAGAAGGAAGGACCTTATCCATTGAACGGAGTTGGAAAGGGAGAAAAGTTGCGATACATGAAGAGAAAATATGTGTTTGTAGCAGAAGGAATTGTAGTGCAACCGAATGAGAAGTATGTCAAGAAACTTCTAGAGTTGTATGATCTTGGAAGATTGAAGAGTAAAGATACGCCGGAACACATCGACTTGGTCAAGGAGGACAAGAGTAAAGAATTGGGACCTGAAGAGACGAAGAGATTCAGATCAGGATTAGGATCTATTCTGTACTTAGCTCAGGACAGAATCGATATCCAGTATGCATCGAGGTGTTTAGCATCAAGCATGTCGAAGCCGACAGCTCAGGCATTGAAGTGTTTGAAGCATGTGATCTTGTATCTCAGTGGCGCAGCCACAAGAGCAACCTTGTTACCTTACACAGTGAAAGGCGCTCGACTGATCACCAAGTTGCATGGTAAGGAAGATAAGAGCTCGTACAAGAAGCTGGACACACTGTAGAAGCCTATTCAGATAGTGATTGGGCAAGCCTGAAGACACCCGAGAAGGCCAGAAGCAAGTCAACATCGTCTGGTATTATCGTACTGAATGGTATTCAAGTACTGAGTTTTTCGAGAACACAGAAGGCTACAGCATCACCAAGTTGTGAAGCAGAGTTGTATGCTGAGTGGAACCTGTGGAGAAGCTATACTTGTTGGACGCCTATTCCAATTCTTGACTGAAGAAACAGTTCGCGTGGAAGTTCGCTGTGACTCTCGCTCAGCAAGACAGCGGTCACAGAGACGAGGAGTCGGACGTTTGAAACATGTGGATGTACGTCTATGTCAGCTACAGGAATGATTGGGTACAAGACAACATCCTAATTGTGGAACAATGAAGACAGCATTGAATGTTGCTGATTTGAGCACCAAGAAACTTACATTTGCGAGGAGAGCATGTCTTTTGTACTTCCTTTGGCAAGTAGAGTACTGGGAAGATGGAGAACTTGTACATCCTGGAGAAGATGAGTATGAAAAGCACGAACAAGAAAAGAGGTTGAAGGAGTATGTTGGAAGCAATCAGGTAAAGAACCTCATCAGGTTGATTCAAGTGTTCAGCGTAATTCAACCCTCGACAGCGTTTTGGATCGAAGGTAGTCCTGAAAGCTGTAACGCCCCAGTGAGCCAAAGTATTGGAAAGATGGAACGAACGAACGGGGAAGGAATGTTCACGAAGTTCGAAGTGGCTAATTATGCTGATCGCCGTAATACTTCTGATGTTACCCCACGCTATTGCAGCGATGCGAAGGCTGATGGGAGTGTGTTGGAGTTTGTCAGCAGTTACAGTTGGATTGGTCAAAGTACACACGCGAAGCAAGAACAAAGTGTACCACAAATCGACGTGTAGATTCGTACAGGGGAGCGTGCGAACTGGTGAGTTCGTATGGATGCGTGAGGAAGAAGCACGTCAACAAGGACACCGAGCTTGCTACGTATGTTGGCCAGAGACCTGACCGAAGATGAAGAACCTCTACCGCAAGAGAGAAAGGAAGAGCAGAGAAGAGTCTGAGGCGACCAGTGAAGAGAAGTATGGGAAATGAAATGGCCGAAGTAGAAGAAGAGGAACCAAGCGAAGGAGGATCTGGATTATGCAGCCGAGTATGTTACTGGTGTGGAGAAAGCCAGTGTTCGAGAAATAAGGTTGGACACGAAGGGTGTTCATGTGAAAGTTGTGTTCAGAGGTATGCTGCAGAGAAGTGGAGAGCAACTTACGACCAGAACCCCGAGGAGACGTCGGAGGACCACAGTTGGAACGCGAGATCATCGGAAAGCACACAAAGGAACCTCCAAAGGAGCATTGCGGAGAAGACCGAGAAGCAAAGAAGGAAACCGCTATGCTGGAGAAGGGCATGAGTATATGCCACCGAATCGTGGAAGGATCACGGGCAGAGGAACAGATGTCTTTAGAAGAGATGGGACAGCAGATTGTTCCAGAAGCAATCATTGAGCCATACTATAGGGACACTGGAGTGGACCCTGGAACACCGGACTCGACAGAAGCCCGTACAGTGGGACCGCGTAAGCCTTACATCCAGAGCATCGAGAATGCCAAGGAGTGAGTGTAGGCAGAGTTTCACCAAGCTAACGGAGTATCTCAGCGGGAGATGAAAGATCCTTGCGAGTGTTTTGCGACCAAACGAAATGTGGTTGCCGCAGTAAAGTACGACGAGGTGTGTGTGCTGTGCTGGAAACCTTGTTTTGGCCTCTGGACAGTCCCCGGAATTGGGGGATGGTAAAAGGTGGGTATGTTGCATCGCTGAAGTGTTTCAATCTGCACGATGGAGTAAAACTCCACGGTGGAGCGGAGAGTGCTCACAAGGCCAGAAATGCGAAGATTCGTACAGCGACACAAACCTCAAGGCAGGGTGTTGAATTTCTTGTATAGGTAAGTCCCCCCTTTGGGAGCCCAAGGCGACGGCGGCTACGGCATGGAATCATGCATGTATAGTTGTGACCTTGCAGCGCCTTTTTGGTTCAGCAGTGAAAAGTGTGACCTGCGCTTGCAGGAGGCACAAGCTTTCGACCTCTCTTGGTACGAACTTGCTCGACCACAGGTGTGTGGTGGTGGCTCTTTCTGGACGAATTGGCCGACCTGCAATCCAGTCGTCCTGCGCCAAGCAAGGGGTCAAGTCACCTGTGCGCGACGGCAGCGTCGTCCAGATGTCGCTTGCCCCGAAATGGTCTAGCGCGCGGGACCTCCGTCGTGGATGGACCTCTTTGCTCCACTGCGGAGCACTGTTTTCGGTTCAACTGGTGCGAGTCACTGCTACCCGTTGGAGGTCGCGGAGCGTCTGCTCCAAGCTTTCCACCGGGGGCGTGTTACGGTCCACGAGCCTGAATTCGACGCGGACATGTTTGATTACCCTTTCCTTGCCTTTGCGTTGCTTCCGGGACCTTATGGCGCCCCGCCTCAGCGGACCTGGGCTTTCCAATGATTTGGGTCCGTGCTGCGAGGGAACCAGGTCGAAGGACGTTGACCGTTGTCCGAGGGGACAAGAACGGCGGCCGGAGCTTTGCATGGGGCTCCACCCTTTACCTGGGTAATCCGGAGCGACAGCTCTTTTTTGCTCCTGGCCAGCTGCTGAGTCAGACCGTAGTCCGTAGGTTTGACTGAACGGCTTTTGGCTGACCTCTTTATTCTGTTTAGGTTGTTTCGGTTGTTCGTTTAGGGACCGAGAGCTGCGGATATGCAGTCGACGATGCCCGCGCACGCCAACAAAAAAACCGTCGCACTGACTGGAATCGCGCGGATGAGCATCAGTGGGCAGTGTTTGCCGCCATACCGAGGAACTCGTCAGTGTCAGGCCCGAAAGTGTGATCAATATGATTCCATCACACGGGAACCCGCACGGCTTTGCGCAGTTTGATTCGTCCCATGTGCAATGGTTCTGATCTGGGTGGGTTCATGAGAGCTACAATTACCGCACTGGACGGCGAGTTTGGCAGTACCTTCATTCTCATTTCATGATCATCGTGCTGACGCATGATTCACGTCCCTAACGGGACGGTAGCCTGGGCAAAGCTTGGTTATTCGTTTCATTCGAAGTGAAGTGAACTTTTCAAGCGTCGTAGGCACCACCCTCGCGGGTCGGTCAGCGTCGGGCAGGGTGAGAAGTGATCCGCCTATTTCTTTTCGAATCGTATATATAACATTCCGCTGTTCTCACAAAGTGATGATACACGACAGTCTATCGGCTAATTTTTTTTCAGTCCAAGCACTTCGCCTCTTCCGTTGTTCTGAGATGCGCAGGGATGTATTTACTGAAAATGTAAGCTGCCTGCACCTACGACTGTACGTCTGGCTCAAGTAAAAAGTGCGTTATGCATTCTGACTGTTTTGCCTGAAAACATTTTTTTGGGTCTTTTTGGTTTTGGTGGATTTTACGGGCTTTGGACTTCCTGTGGGATTGATACCGCGACGTACTCGTAAAACTAGCAAAACGCAGGGGCCGTGTTCCGACTCCAAACCTTCATTCTGATGCGTTTCTGCGTTGCTCCAGGCTTCATTCAAGAACTCCGTGTCTTGGATGAAGTTCGGATGAATGAGTCGAATGCGCCAAAACGGAGAAGAAGATAGTAACCGATGACCATCGTGTGGGCTTCGTTCCGACAAGATATCCGGATCGTGTTAAATAAGTTTAACAACCTTGAAATTCATGGAACACGGAGGGACCGACTCCAACAATCAGGATGCGATTTTGCTTTCGCTGTCCGTTCGTTGTTGAATTTGCGACCCGTTTTGTTTTACATCCCTTGTTTCCGCTCGCAACTACTACAATATTTAGTTTTTGAGGAACCACAGACAGGTTTGTCATGAAGTAGGCCGACGAAAACGAAACGGCCGGTTAGATGGCAACGAGACATCAACCTTGAGCTACTCCGCATCGCTGCTGCTTGGCCCAAGCACAGAAAATCAACTAGAAAACAACAATAGACACGCAGACCTCACAACGGAACTGATTGTGAACACGTGCGCGCGCGACGCAGGACGAGCACGCGTGCAAGACAGCAGGATGGCTTCCAGAAAGCCTTGAGAGCGCCTCTCCGGGGCGACTTTGGCACTGGATGCCTGGCACGCGTGATGTCGTGTCGGGATCTCGTTTTCCCATGTTTGATCTGTCCGAAGCTTGACAAGTTTCCGCGTTTCAGGCTTTCCCCCAGCTGGTTCGAGGAGGACCATTTTTGGCCGTACGAATTCCAGAGACCTTCCATCGTGCTGCAGGCATTTGGTGTGCCGGAAGGGAGATATAAAGACATGAGGAATGACTTCGAGGCAGCAGCAGGCCAGCATGCCTGCTGCGAGCAGTCTTTCAGATCTTCCAAACTGTGAACTCCTGTGGCTGGCAGGCCTTCTGATTTGCAAGAGCACCGGCAAGATGTTTCAGGCAGTTCTAGCTTGGCTGTTGAGCTGCGCAAATGCGTGCGCGTAGGCTGGAACTTTGAGAACGCCAACACTCGCAAGCTTGAAAGCCCAGTTGGACACTGCCAGACAGGACACGGTTCCAGGATGGTCAGATTGAGGATTGCTTGTTGCCTTCGTTTTCGCCTTGCAAGGACGGACATGGTGACTATTACCATGCCGGGGCCCACTTCCCAGATCGCATGGAGGGTACAGCGGCCCCCCTGCCCCAAACCCCAAGCAAAATCCAAGCGCAGAGAATGAAGGCACTGGCGCTTCGCACTTTGTTAAGCGCGAGGGTACGGGTGAGGCCTTGAACTTCGAGAACGTGACCAGCGACTCGCTGAGCCTCTACCAGGACCCCAAGAACGCCAACGCCGTCTTCCAGGCAGAGCCTAGCGGCCTAGCCGGGCCGGAGGGCAGAGTGGCAGAGTGGCGCAAAAAGCCTAACTAGCCCTTTTTGAGGTCTGCTCGCTCTTCAACTGCCTGGAGACGACGGAGGGCCACCAGCCCGAGGACCGAGAGAGCGCAGCGCATCGTGTCTGGGCCTCCGCCTCGCGACTCGCGAGGATGGGATCACGCACTACTGCTCGAAGGCGGGCGGCGGGCGGTCGCACCGGTCGCACTTCTCTCTCTCCATGGCGGGGCTCGGGGCTGGTTTTCTCTGTGAGGCCACGCAAGGGGCCGCGTCGGCGATCGCCTGCCCGGCAGCTGCCTTCTTCAGGCGCGGCCCGAAGGGAGAGCTAAGGGCGCCCCTTTGTGCAGCTGCGCAGCTCTGACTCTGGCCTCCAGCCTCCGCTCCAAAAGGAACTACTTCGTCCATTCCACGGGCCAAGGGGCCTCGGCCGAAGAACCGCTTCGCCGCTTCGCGAGCTCTTCCTTCCACTTCTGGCGAGGCCTCTGGGAGACCCGTGGATTTGCTGGAGGAGCTGGGCAACGTGGTGCAGAATTCCAAAAACGGCCCCCGACTGAGCGAGGGAGGGAGCGTACTCCGTCTGTGTCTGTGTGTGTGTGCGCGCCTTTGGTGGAGGCTACTGGACGATGAAGCGGGGACCTCGAGCCGCGTGACGCGTGCAAGATCTTTCTAAGGGTCTCGACGGTCTCGAGCACTCGAGGAACGGCCACTGCCTTCCGCGCGTGGACGGGAGCATCGCGAGGCCGAGACCGAGAGTGAGCTCCGCAGGGAGCCGGGGCCTGGCCAAGTGAGCCGAGGCTGAGCCAGCGCCTGGCCACGAACCACGAGCTCGAACATCAGGCTCGCGAGGCTGTCCAGGCGGGCCCTTCGCCTTCGGAGGCGAAGCGTTGTTGGCATTGGGGGGCCAGAGAAGTCTGTAAGGTTGGCGTGCACTGGGAGACGGAGGCTGCTGCCGGCACGAGAGTTTGAGTGCCGTGACAAGTTCTGCAGAGGTGTGGCAGATGAGTCACCAGGTCTGCCAGGCAGCTGAGCTCTACGCCGTCGCGAGCCGTTCAGCGCTTCCAGCTGCCGCCGCTTCTGTGCTTATCAGGTGCTCTGTGGCGCCTTACCTGTGGGCTACCTGAAGGCAGTCCGCTCAAACGATTGGTCCGTCTTTGCCAAGGCCAGAAGAGGACAACGGGTGGTGTTGCGACACCAGTCGGAGAGAGATTTCAGGAGAGAGACAGACACAGGGAGACAAAGACAGGAGGAGACAGGAGTGTTCTCGCCTGGAGCTGTCTCTCTCCAAAGACTGTTCCGTCCTTTTTGCCATTTGAAGGTGGTGCTCCAGGCGGCCTATGAGGTCTGGGTCGAGAGAGAGAGAGAGAGTTCCCGGGTGACTGGGCCCCGCTCTTGCAGTCACTTGCTTCTTTGCGCAGAGGCCACGCTGACGGTGGCCTCCTGCCTCGCGGGAGCCCCAATTGCCCTTTTTGCTCTCTGGGGCCTCAGCTGCGCCTCGCATGGCGGGAGCTGAGGCTGCCAAGAGAGGGGCCCGCGTCAAGGAGGGGAGAACCGGAGAACCGGAGAGCACCCTCTGACTCTCTCTGACTTTTTGACTCTCTGACTCTCTCTGACTCTCTCTGACTCTCTCTGACTCTCTCTGACTCTCTCTCTCTCTCTATCTCTCTCTCTCTTTCTCTGTCATTGGGATGCATGGGTGTGGCATTTGGCGAGGTCTTCTTGACGGCCGTCGGCGCCGGATCCTTGAGCAACAGGTGCAGCACCGCGGCTCCCCGCGCGCGCGGCCGCACGCTCCGTGTTCCCCGAGCTTGACGCGGACGCGCGGCCCCGCGCCTCCTCCTCCGAACGAAGCGTCCGTGCCCCGACTCACAGGGTCTCCTGGATCGCGAGCCGGCGGCCAAGAGCGGCTAGCGAGCGGAGCGGAGCATGTCGCACTCCTCGCCTCGCACTTCGGCGGCTGTCCGCGAGGTGCCTTGGAGCGCTCCTTGGAAGAGTTCGCCTCGGAGCGGCCTTTGCCTGCGCCTCTGCTCTTTGTTTGGGGGATCTCCGTTTCGGAGGAGCCTCTGGATGTGGTCTTGGTGCACTTCGCTGCTCCCCAAGTGGACTTCGAAGAGCTGGAGGCAGCGCAGCGCCTGTGCAGCGCAGCGCCTGTGCAGCGCCTGTGCAGCGCAGAAGCGCCTGTGCAGTGGATGGGGGCCGGGCTGGGGCTGCAGAGCTTTGGAGGCGGGTCGGAACGGCTCCTCCATCTCGCTGAGGCTCAGACCTGCGACGAGACCGCAGTCCAAACGCACATCACGAATCGCTGTCCCTGGCAGGCCTCTCACGCCCACGACGCCGTCCCGCCTCAATGAGCCACTCGGCCTGTGAGGGAACGTGAGGGTTTTGTTGTGGCCTCAGCCTCACTGTGTGGTTTTTGCGAGGAGGCTCCGCGACTACGGAGTCGAAGATCAGCCCGAGGAGAAAACGAAGTCGAAAAACCGAGTCCCCCCACGCCACGCGCCTCCCTGCGCCTCCCTGCGGCTCGGCCTTCAGGAGGACCACGTGGCGGTGATGAGGACGTGCTCTCACATAGGGTCTTTCTAGCAGCTTTGGCCTCGTGTGCGGACAGGAAGGCTTTTTCACTCTACGATCAGAATGGCGATGGCGAGCGAGACTGAGACAGGGCTCCAACGAGAACGAAACCCGAAAACGAAAGAAAAACAGACTAAGCAGCTTTAAGCAGCTTTAAGCAGCGGCCTTCTGCCTTCTTGCGTTCTCTCGAGGTCTTGGACCGGGCGGAGTTCTTCACGATGCTGCACAAGCTGGACGAGGAGCCACCTGGCCCGCCCTATTAGGTAGCGGCTATAAAGACCCTACTGACCTACGGCAAGGCTTATGGCTCCAAAAGCAGCAGAGATGGCCCCTTCCAAGGTTCTTTACTCCTCACGTGGTCGACGTTCTGCTGAAGGAGGACCACCGACGAAGCAAAGTAAGGCTAGGGCCCAGGCCGGCACCCCGCGTTGTTTTGTGCTTGACAGGCAGATGTGGACCAAGATGGCAAAATCTACTACCACGAGTTTGTTCGGTGGATTTGCCAGGTCCTGGAAACCGGAAATGGCAGGTTTCTGAAGAATGCAGTTGCAAAGATGCAGGAAGATGAGGACATCGTGAACCGCGTCTTGCGCTGAAAGCTGCCGGGCTTCTGTCTCTCTTGTGTGGGCGTTACCACTTGCCCCATTGCTCAAAGCAAAGACGGGACAATGGGCGCTCCGTTTCCCCCATTCCACAGCGGCGGCGCCGCCTGAGCAGAGGTGCAAAAAGGAAGCGCAGGGAGAAGATCCTCAGCACAACTTCTGCCGATGCCGCTGGTCATGGCGACCGAGGCTGTTCATACCAAAGCGAGCTGAGGATGGCTTCGCCACAGCCCAAAGCATGAGACTGTTCAGAGCATGGTGAGTCGACAAGCCTGCTGGGTCACTGCCCCATGCTCGCTAGCCTCTAGTGAAGCACCATGGCAGGCACAAGCTACATCAATTGGCTTTGTGAGGTGAGCGACCAAAGAAATATCAGTACCAAACCCTCACACGTATATATATATATATATATATATATATATATATGTATGTGTATGTATGTACATATACGAAGTTAGATCGATGGACAGATGGTGATCGCTGTGTAAAGCAGAATGCCATGGAACCTTCCGAGGAGCGGCGGCAGGCCGGGCTGCTTGCACTCCTTGGGCTCATTCCCTCTGCCCTTAATCTTCACTTTGAGGGTCGAGTCTGTCGGGCCTGTCGGTTTTAGGGTCCCTTTTTTCTGCAGTGGAGAAAAGGGTCGGAGGAAGCCCATGGATACAGCAGGGATTGTGCATGGTAGATCTTGGCACCCTTCAATGCGAGTCGAAGAGGTGCAGTGTCCCGGAACCGCAAAACTTGGTTGGTCAGGTGCTACATTATGCTGCAGGCACGTGAGGAGAATTGCCGAAGTCTTCCTCCAGACTGCTTTCTGTCTTGAGTTCATGGCCGTGCGGACCTTATTTCCTTGGCGATTGAGCAGGACGTGGTGCGGGTTGCGTGGATGTAGTTAGTTGTGGTAGAATTGTTGCCGGCTGCAGCTTGAAGGAGATCGCGGTGCCGTCGCCTCGTTTGGCTCTCTTTGGAGGCGAGCACTGCCCTCGACCGTGACAGGCAGACCCGAGCGCTTCTCCCGAGGAGGCCCGGCTTGCAGAGAGAGAGAGCGACAGAAATGCGTACGCCCCGGCGGGCCTGGGCCAGAAAGGGAGCTGCGACTGCCCGCCGAGATTTTTTCCGCGTGGGAGGTAACCAAGCGATTGCTCGGGTGGCAGAACGAGGCCAAGGTACGGCGCAGATAGCGTTTCCCTCCAGAGATCCTCCCATCCTCCCATCCTCCCCGACCTTGTGAGGGCACTGCTCTGCACGAAGCCTGTCGTGCTGGGCATGTGGATGTAGTGCCTTGCCTCGCAAAGACGACGCATGTTGCACCAAGCTGCAGCTTTGCTTCTGATCTCAGGTGCGCATGCTGCTGCTTCGCGGCGCCCCCGCGAACGAGCGGGATGCTCTCGGCAGGGCTGCCTTTCAGGTGGGGAGCTGCGGCTTCGTGCTTGCACTTTGGGTCACGGCCACGGCCCCTTCTTTTCAGTGCAGGTTGTGACCGAAGGCCCTGCGGAGAAGCCGCGACCTGTCGCTGGCAAAAGCAGGGGAAACGGAAGCTCTGAGTCTCTGAGGTCCCAGCAGCTTCAAGCGGCCTTCGAAGCCGAGCGCAGGGCCGAAAGAGTGGAGAGAAGCCTGAGTCGTGTCGCGCCTTCTCGCGGACAATGTCGCAACCCGTCGCAACCCGTCGCAACGTCCGGGGAAGTTCTTCTCGTGACCCCCTGACAGACTGAGGCTCTTCAAGCGCTGCGCCCAGGGCGACCTGGCCACTCGACTCATCTCGGCCACATCTAAAGAGTGCTGAGTGCCGCTCATTGTGGGAGCTCATCTCATCTCATCTCATCTCATCTCATCTCATCTCATCTCATCTCATCTCTCTATCTCTCTCTCTTTTTCAGGCTGGCGCGGAGGCCTTGGCCCTCGGCGGCATCGACCTGAACTGCGAGCAGGCCCGGGGGCAGAAAGAATTGCATGACGCGGAGTCCGCTTTTTCTGAGGCCGGCTACAGCCCGTGGGCCTGGGCCGAGCTCTTTGGCCAGAGCTCCGTGGCGGAGCGGATGCAGGCGCGCCCAGCCCTCGCAGCACAGGGCGACAGCCCTCTTCGCCCGAACTTCGCCCCCTTCGCCTTGGCGCGCAGGAGTTGGCTCGCGGTGGGCCGGATCCGCTCCCGCTCCCGGGAGCGGAGCCGGCGGAGCCGGAAGCGGAAGCCCCAGGCGGAGGAAGCCCGGCGAGTGCGGGCAGCGCTCGGAGCAGTGGCGCGAGCTCTTCAAGCGAGTTCAAGAGCCGCTTGGACTCGGCTTTGTTGCCCTTTCGACACTGAGGGAAACTGCACTGATTGAATTCCCAAGACGAAGTCGAAAGAGTGTTCTGGCTTTCAGTGCTCCTTGCGGACCAGCTTCGGAAGGGGGCTCGGCTATACTTTTGGTTTCAAGTCGCTGGAAGGTCCAGCGTGCTTGTCGCTGTGGCCAGCCATGACCGCATTCCTCGACGACGAGGTATGTCTGGGCGGCCGCCAGGCGGGGCAGCGAGGGAACTTCCCACGCCACGGGTTCAGTGCCATGGAAAAGAAGCAGGTGACGGTGTTCATGCCCCTGCTGGACTGGACCAGCGTGGGTGGCCTAGTGGAGTGCAAGAGCCGCAGTGTTCGGAGCGGTTCGCGCGCAGGCTGCCAGCCTCGGAGATGAGCTGTCCTTTTGCTTGCAGGCACAGCGACTTGTTGAACACTCGAGTGTAGCGCACCTCAGCCTCAGAACCGAAGACAGGCAAGTAACAGAGGTCTCCGATGCAACCCGCCGAGGCAGTTGCCAAGCGGCAAACTTCTGGAAACTGATCCCAGTTGCAATCTGTACTAAGCTTCCCAGAACTGTGCATACTGCGTTTCGGGGGTTTGGGCCTGCTGCGGCCTTGCAGGCACTATGTGGTGAGGGTGGGTGTCAACCACGGCTCCGAGTTCCCGGTGGCCACACTTCAGATCAGGCCAAAGCCAAAGCGTTGTGTCGGGTCCACGGGCTCGGCCTGCAAGACTTCTCCAAGCAGGAGCTCCTCGTGGACGTGTGGATGTCCGGGACCGGGAGTGCCTCTGAAACTTACGGAATCGCCGTCCAGTCGAACCACCTTCACGTCACCGCGGGCTCCTTCCAGGCGCCGCTCCTCGAGCAGGGCGGTTCGCGATGCATCGCAGTTATTCGCAGTTGTGGGTTCTTGGCTTGAAGTTCAACAGCCGCCGCTTCGGCCATTCTTTCCGCTTCGGTCAGGCGCTCTATGTGGCCTTGGAATCCTTGCGGCAGCTTCTGAAGTTCCACGCCCAACCCGGTGCCGCGAGCGCCTTGCGACTGCCGCGGCTCCGTGCTTGGGGGCGCTGCCCAGGCTACGCACGCGCTCACTTGGGACCGAATTTTTCTCACGCAAAACTTGAAGTCTTCGGCGCTTGTGCTTGCTCAGTACTTGGATGCCTCAGTGCAGTCTTTGCTTGATACGATCCTCTGCAGCCACAGAAACGACGGAGAGAGTGCTTACCGGTTACTGGCGAGGCCTCTTTGGCGTCTTCCTGGAGCTCTGGCGCCTGGAGCCGCGCGAGCAGGTCCTGGCGCTGCGGCAGCTGCGGGGTCGGGGCGCCAGGCCAGGCCAGCGCGCGAAAAAGCGGAGTAGAGAGAAATTGCAACAAAACAAGAAAGACAACAAAAAGAAAGGACGTATCGCACATCGCATCGGCGAGTCGGCGACGCCGTCTCGAATTGGCGCAGCTCCCACCGCCGCCGAGGCATATCTGGGCTCCCGTCACCGAGCAGAACTTGGCCAGCATCTGGCAGATGCGCAGGACATCGCAGGAGGGCACATGAGGGACCAGTGTGTGCAGTGACGTGTGTTTTTGGAGGACTTGCAGCGAGCTGGACGTCGAGCTGGCTCCCATCCTTGCGAACACCGCGAGCATCGAGCTTCTGGCCCAGCTCGGGGCCCCGGCGTAGCTTTCTGCTTCTGTGTGGAGAGAGCTTGGGCGCATTTGGGCGCGGTTGCCGCGCTTGCTTGGTGCAGGTTCCAGGGCTGCAGCCAGATCGGGTGCCGGAGCGGGCGCGCCTTTCCCGAACATGAGCGCGACGTCTTTCGAAAGCAATTCTGCAGGGAGGCGGCGGAGCTCGGCCTCTTCTGGCAAAAGATGCCGGATGCCCAGCGCTCGCTGCGCGCTCTCTCGCGGGCACGCGGGGTTGGGGCTGCGAGGCTGGCCGCCGGGCTCGGAGGGCGCCTGGCGGCGGTGCTCGAGGCGTGCGATATGGAGTGCGGCAGCGCCGCTCGGCTCAGCCGCAGTGACGTGTTTCTTTTCGGCCCGCAGGCCTCCGCCGCCTCCGCCTCCGCCTCGCGAGCCCTGCAGGAGTGCGTGGCGCACTGCCAAGTGCGCGAGGGGGCGACCGCACATGTCCTTTGCTGGCATGGGGTTTCCTTTTACGCATGCAGGGTTCCTTGCGCTCTCTGCGGACAGCAAGCTTTGCAGCGGCGTTTGCAGGATTTTTTGGCTGGCGATGGGGGCATCCCCTCTTCCAGGCGGGAAGTTTTGAGTATCAGGGTTCTGGTGGTTTCGGTGTCCAGTTTTCGGCGCGGGGTTTGGGAACATTTCGCGGGCAGCTTCGGATCAAGCCCGGAGCACACGAGCCCTGAAACTGAAGACTTGGAGCGCTCCTAGGTCACACCCGGCCAACCGGCCACCTGTAGGCAATGGGATGGCCTTCACCAGGGCATTGGTAAATACGGTGAAGGCAAGCCGCAAGCCGCCTGCTCCGGCACGAGGGGAAACGTGCCAGGGCGGTTTAGGATATTCCCATCATCAGGCGATTGTGGTTGATCACATCAGCCGATGGCGGCTGATCACATCTCCTATTTATGTTTAAGAATTCTTCGTCTTCCCTTCTAAGCCAGTTGTTCATGGATTCCTGCCATTGTCATATCTTGAGGTTTGGTCATCCCAAAAGATTCCAAGTATGCGGCTTCTCTAGACGACCCCACAAGTCAGAAATGAGACGTCC